GTAAACGCACCCGTGTCCTGCAGTATCTATGGATGACAGAAGAGGGCTTTGAATCCCCTGGAAGTGGAGTTACAGATGGTTGATGTCCACCATATAGGTGTTAGAATTTGAACCATGTCCTCTTCAATAGCAGCCAGTGCTCTTGACCACTGAGCCATCTTTTCAGCCCACATTAATGTTGTTAATGTGGAAGGTGGACATGAAGTTAAGAGGAGGATGTGGTTAGGGGATCCTGTGGGTTTTTGAAGGGAACTGAGCATGTTATATCATCAACATATGTTGCTTACACAGAAAAATATTTCAGAGAATTGCAAAAATGCATTTAAGCAAATTTGTGAGAAGCAAATAAATGATATAGCAATTAAATATCTCCCTTTCCCTTAAAAAAAATCCAAGTCCACATAAATTCAGTTCAAAATTCAACCAGGGCTTTAAAAATTAACTAACACTAATCCCTCTCAAGTTATTCAACAAAATAGCAAAGAAAATAAAACATCTAAACTCCTTTTATGAAGCTAACATTATTCTGACACTAAAACCAGATGACAACAACAGTAAAAAGGAAATTAAAGGAAAATAGCTCAAATAAACATAGATGCAAAAATCAATCCAATCATGGGAAATAGAACACAGGAACACATAAAAAAGACGATTCATCAAGGAGAACTGAATAATTCTAGAGATGCAGGGATGTTTAGCATATGCAAATAAATAGACACAAGAACAGAGTAATTCCATGATAATTTTACAAGGTATAAAAAGTACATTTGATAAAACTCAACACACTTGGGGCTGAGAGATGGCTCAACAGTTACAAGCACTGACTGTTCTTGCAGAAGACTCAGGATCAAATCCCAGCACCCACATAATGGCTATCAACCATCTGTAATTTCAGTTCCTGGGTGTCCAAATCCCTCTTCTGTCCTTCGTGGGCACTGTATGACACAGGTGCACTTACATACATGGATAACACCATTCACATAAAGTAAATAAATTTTTAAAAATCTAACACACTTATAAGAATGCTAGAGAAACTAGGAGTAGAGGGAACATAACTCAACATAGTAAAGGCTATCTATGACAGACCTACAGTTAGCATCATGCTAAATAGAATAAAAATCTTGAAACATTTCCACTCAGATCAGGAACAAAACAAAGGTGACCTCTCTCTCCAATCTTATTCAATAAAGGGTTTGAAGTCTTAACCTGGGCAATAAGAAAAGAGAAGAAAATAAAAGGATTGTAAACAGAAAGGAAGAAGTGAAAATATCCTTATTTGTAGATAGCAGGAGTCTATGCATAAGAGACCCTAAGCTTTCAAGGAAAAGCTATCAGAACTGATAAACACTTTCAACAGAGATCATGGTACAAAATTAGCATATGAAAATCTGTAGACTTCTTATATTCCAAAGATCCACGTGCTGAAAAAGAAATCAAGGACGCAATACCACTTAAAATAGGGTTAAAAAAAATAATGTATGAACTAAATCAAGGAAGTGAAAAATCTCTATAATTCAAATTTTCATAAAGAAGGAAACTGATAAAGACACGTGAAGATGGAAATAGTTTTTAAACTTATGAATTAGAATAATTAATATTGTGAAAATGGACACCCTACCAAAAGCAATCTACAAATTCTATGTGATCTCCATCAATATTGATCACTGTTCTTCACAGAAATAGAAAAAAATATCTTAATAGAGTTATGTAAACATAAAGACCACAGAGAGCTAAAGCCCTCCTGAGCAATCAGAATGATGCTTGAAGTATCAGTATATGTGATACAAAGTTATTCTTCAGAGTAGCACTAATAAAAACAGATACATAGATCAATTCAAGGAAAGAGAAGGCCCAGATAGAAGCCCACAAAGCTACAGCCTCCTGATCTTTGACAAAAATGCAAAAAAAAAAAATCAGAGAAAAGAGAAAAGATAGCTCTTTAAAGAATGGTGCTGGTAAAATTGGATATCTCTATGAAGAAGAATGAAATTGATCTTCATCTCTCAGTCTATCAAAAAACTAGCTGCAAATATAACAAAGACCTTCATATAACAACTGGCTCTCTGAAACTTCTAGAGAATAAGAGTGAAAACACCCTAAGATATTGGCATTGTATGGGCATTCTGAAAGGATTCCTGTAGCTCAGGAAATAATGTGAGAAACAACTCAGACAAAGAAAGAAAAATGTTACTTGTGATCTCATATATGAGGATGCTGGTGTCAAATTTAGTTTTATGAGCTTAACTTGGAATTCATGTAGAAGTCAGAAAGCTATACAGAGGAGCCATCAGAAAGAGACTAAGGAGATACAATAATGGAATGTGGATAGAGGAACATATATGATATGAACATTGCAGCAGTGAGATGCCACGTTATAATGATACACGAACAAAAAACAGCCCAACTCTTAGAATTCATTAAAACCAGAAGTGTGGTCCAATCTCTTCTGAGAACTTACTTCTCCTATGTTCCCCAGATCTGTGTTCTTAAAACTGTTCTCTCAAACACAAGGCTTGCTTTCTCTGTATTAAAGCAGTGTATCTATCGTGAAATGGGGAAAGAAAAATAGAACTTGTCTCTTTAGGTTATTTTCCCTTTCTGACCCCTATTGATGTAGAACAACAGACACAAACATGTTACCAGTCAAATGCTACCTCTTGTTTATAGTACAAATGGTAAAATGCACACCTTTAAACTGCCTACACACACACACACACACACATTCTTCTGGATCAAGGGCAAAAAGAACATGAGGGATCAAAGCATATGTTTGGTTACAAGAGGAGCCCAGTGAGTAGTAAGATGTTTTACAGTATAATGAAGCTGTGACATTGTTAAATGATCTCAAATACATCATTAGCTTTGGTTAAAAGGTTGGGTAAAGGCCTGGCATGATGGCACATGACTTTAACTTCAGTATTTAGGGTGGGGAGGCAGACAGGTCTTTGTTAGATCCAGGCCACCATGGTCTAAGCAGTGAGTTCAAGGCAGGCTGGGGTTTCAGAGAGACCCTGTCTCAAAAACAAACAAATAGAAAAAATTAGAAGACATTCACAAAAAATTTGTTCCCACTAAAGAGAGGATTAATAAAGGTAGAAAGATATCAGTGGGAATGAAGCTTGGGAATGCAGAAGACAAAGCTGGGGCCAGGGAGGGATTAACCTAAACTAAAGATGCATGAAAAAAACATGAAAATCTACTATTATGAAAGCTATTTTTAAAACACAACTTCAATTTAGAAAAAGGAGATAGAGGGGAAGTATCCTGAGTAAGTACATAAAGAGTCTCCCCAAATCCACATGATGTTAAACAAAACTTCAATGGCCATGAGTAGTATATCTTCTCAAGATTTGTGATAAGACAGATGCAAGTGGTCTCCACATAATCCAGGCTATTACCATTAATCTTCATTGTCCACGGGAATTAGAATACAAGACATGATTACTAAGACACCACATAGTTAGGATGTAGGACAAAAAGAGATCAAATCAACTAATCTGGGTGCTTCGCCATTGCTGGCTAGCTTTCATAGTGCTGGTAGGTGCTATGGAGGCATTGGAGAGAAAAAAGTCAACTTAGTGGTCTTCCCAGCACTCAACTCTGTGAGCAACAGTACCAACCGCCCAGGAAAGATGTGTGTGGTACAAGAGTGGCATGACTAATATGGGAGTAAAGAGCATTTTTGTGATTGAATTTTAGCCTCACTTTACAGGAGGAATTCTTATCTTCTAATCTAATGGCCAAAGGTTCATGGTTGGGGAGGTCGAAGGACCTAGGGGAGAACCTATTTCTGTTTGTGGTTTGTTCTAAGTGGACGATGTTCAATTGCCTTCTAAATGTTTATGCTTATACTCATGGATTTGTGTTGTGGTCCGCCTTGGCCAGTGAAGCTTGTGTTTGCTGTGGGCCGTAGCTAATGCAAAGATTCACAGCTGGTCAAAATGCTAAACTAAGTGACTGTTGAGTGCTCAAAGGGCTGTCTCTATCCCCTCCAGCATGACTTTTCAAATTCCAAAGGAGAGTTGGTGAAAGAATTCAAAGCGAGAAAATGGGAACGAGTACTATGAAATGCTTTCTGGACAGCATGCTGCTTTGGTACCGATGAAGTCACAGCAACAGTATCTAGTGCAGAAGTCCTTCACAAGACCGAATATCAGCACTCCATGTGGTCACAGAGGAATTGAAAAGGCCACATCTACTCCTGAAGAGCTCTAGGTAGTTACTGGTACCAGGGTGGGAGGATTTATATTCCTCAGTGGCATAACCAATGGTAAGTACTTTAGCTCAAGTAAATAACCTCCAACCCATGCTCAGAAAGGCAACTCTACATTATTAAAAAGTGTTAAAACCCACATGAAAATGGGGGGCATGAGACTTACTGGGAAGAACGGGGTATGGTGAGAGGTTGAAGGGGATAGGAGAAGATAGTGGGGATGAATACCATCAAAGTACACTATATATATGTATGAAATTATGATAAAATGTTTTTAATAAAGACTGGAACTCTAAAAAAGTACTAGGAATACATAGAATAAATAATGTTAATGGTCAAGCAATATATTTGTTAGGATGACTTTAAGGGTTCTGAGACCTTCCTTTGACAATTACCTCAAATATACTCTAATAAAACATACTAAAATCAGGACTAGAGTTCTATAATAATTGTACATGATTTTCATTACCTTTTTTAACTTAAGCTGATTGTGTATAGCTTTTACTAAAAGGTAAGGTGCTATAAGAATTGAGATCTCTATGGGCCAGAAATGTATTAGCAGGTAAAAGTGTTTGCTATGCAAGTGTAATGACATAATTTTGATCCCAAGAACTCAAAGAACAGAACTCAATAAACTCTCCAGAATTTCCCTTGAATCCAACCCACTGGCAATAGCGCTCATACACACACATTTATACATATACACCTCATAAAAAATCAACGAAATAATAATCAGTTATATACAAGAGATGAAACACACTGGACTGTTGTCTCTGTAAGTACTTACTTTGAATTTTATAACTGATTCAGCAATAAACAGGTCCTCAGCAGAGTTACTAATGAAAAAGTGAGCAGTGCCACCTCAGAAACATGGACTTTAACTTCTGTGCAATTGCCATCGATTTTATCTCCAGAAATGACATCACAGTATGCACTGGCAAGAAAACCAGACTGAATCTTTGATGATAGTGCCCTGCAAACACAAGAAAAGTTAATACTTAAGTTAAATTCAACACAGTCAGTTGCAACAAGACTGTTTCTAAAACAATAACAACAAAAATGCCTAAACTTTGTGCTATGTAGCTGTGAGTCAGAGTCCCAGTGGGAAAAATTTCAACACAAAGACTTCCGCAGTGGGAGTGAAAGCCTTTTGGGTATCAAAGGCCTCTTTTCACAGCCTAACAGAGTCCCAGTTCTGGGAACTGCTACCAAACAGTGAAAGTCAGAAAACATCAGTAGAGGTTTGAGGGAAAAGCACGAGCTGTGTGGAAAAAATTCATTTCATGTTTTTCCTCTGCTGAACTTAGGAAAATATTTATTACCTCTAATGTTTTGTTAATGACATTATTTCGTCAAAAGTCACTTACTTGCAAAGGTTTAAATTGTTTGGGGCTAGAATTAAAAATAATCTAGCAGTGCAGGAGAGATGTCTCAGTGGTTCAGAGCAGTGATGGCTCTTGCATAGGAGCTGGGTTTGGTCCCCAGAAGCCACATGAAGGTTGACAATCATTTGTAACTCCATTTCCAGGGGATCCAATGCCCTCTTCTGACCTCTGAAGGTATTGCACAACACTGTGCACTTGGATATGCGAAGGCAATACATTCATACAAATAAAATGAATAAAAACAATTTATGAACAATAAAAATAATTTAGTATTTTTACTTAGAGGTACGTGAAGCAGTACGTATAAATGTATTTTGTATCTCCCATCTAGAAAATGACAGAAATGTTTTTAAACCTTTTTTTAAAATCTTACTTATTATTTGTATTTTATGTGTATGCATGTATTGCCTGCATAAGTGCACGCATGTTGTGAAATGCCCACAGAGGTCAGAAGAGGCTGTCGAATCCCCTGAGACTGGAGTTACAGTTGTTAGCTGCCATGTGGATGCTGGGATTCGAATGCTGGTCTTCTGCAAGAACAACCAGTCTTTGCAACCACTGAGCAATCTCTCCAGCCCCCAGAAATTTTTTAATATATATTTTTATTGAGCTTTTGTAATTTCATGTAAGAGTTCTTAATCAAATTGAGACCTCCTCCCCATCCATACCTTCCCCATTCTCCCACCAGATCTCATGTATTAGACCATACATGTAAAGTCCTATCCAGTCAAGCATTTGTACCCAAACGTCATTCAGTGTACATTCATCCACTGGAATCTAATCAGTCCATCTAGAGTTCATACGTAAGGCATACTCTCACTCACCCAGTAGCAATCAGTCTCCAATAGTTTTCAGTCTCGTGTGAGCCTGCCACCCATTTCTGCCCTCCTCTTTGGGCCATTGTTTAATTGAGTTGACATGGGTCCTGTGCTCAATGACACAATTGCCACAAATTTACCTGTGCAAGCTTCCAGTGGCCTGAAAGCCTCTGCTTCCCTGTGTTCATAAACCAACCCTGGGTCTTACAATCTTTCCATCCCTTCTTCAATGGCCCCTGAGCCATGGGTGGGTGAGGCTCCATATAGGAGTCCTATCCTACACTCTGCAGTCTCTTATTCTTTAAATCTTGAGCATTTGTGGCCTTCTGTGCATTGCACTCTATTGTATAAGGAAACTTTAGTGTTGAGAGTTGAGGGATGCATTAGTTTTCTCTCTACCCTATTGTTCCTCTATGCTCCATGGGCCTCTCAAACATATGTGCTCTGTGTCTGACCAACTATAAACTGATGTTTTCACTTTCTCTCTCGGTGTTTTCAGTGAGCTAAGCACTGTTGTAGAATTTGATGTGTAAACATACAAACATGCATTCATGTATCATTTTGATTTGACATCAAGGAAGGGTGGTGAGGATTGATGGTCCTATGCTGAGGTTACAGGAAAAGCACAAGGTTCAGTTGAGCTTATCTACAGTACAAACTGTTGGGGGACCCTGCTGCTAAGGTTGCAGTCCACCATGTCCAGAGAGCTCTAAGGAGCTCAGTGTTACATGGAGGACTCCCTTTCTCAGTGGGGGCTGCCTGCTCTCTGCCTGACTTATCTGGAAAGTGCCTTCCAAGCATGGGTGCCTGGCCTTATTTGGAACATGACCTTTGGCATTGTTACCTGCAATAAACTCCCCCCAGGTTTTGTCTATATGATAATTAGGCATTGCCCTATAGCCAGATGATAGGATCCCCCTACCACATGTAAATAAAGCAAACTACAAACACCTATCATATGAAGCTTTGGCTGCTGCCTCCACACTATATTTTTCCCTGACCCCACAGAATAAACAGAGCTGTATCACTGAACATGACTCCTCAGAAGGTTTTTTCCATCCATGCTCACTGGCCATCCTGACCCCGCCCATCGCTTCTGCTCCCTTTGTTCTCATGGGTCAGTGGCCAACAACCCATGAAGGGAGGGAGAGACCCAGAGCTGGCACCCAACATGAGGCTCCTGGAATGTGCAAAGTTTGTGAGTACCCCCTCTTTAAGAGGGTAACGGCAGCTTTGCCTTTGTTAGCTCACCCTCGAGGATCTGCAGTTTCTCCTCTTTCCTCCTTTTACTTTCAGTCTGAGTCTTCGCATGAGACCATTAAAGATGAAGGAGAAATTGAGGACTTCTGATCAGGCCTACTCCCCGATGTTAGCTGAAGGCTCTTAGTCCTCTAAATGGACTCTGGTTGCCTGCCCGGTGTAGACAAAGACCTCCTATGTATACATCTTTCTAATACAAAACCAGTCAAGCAATGACCAGTTAAATACTCTTAGAGTGGGTCGCAGGTTCTCTGAAACTTACAGTCAGGCTTGCACTGTGGACTAGCGAGGAATTCCCTGAGGCCTTCGGTCCCAGCAATGTTCCCCTAGGAATTGGTGTTTCACCCCCTTTCCTTTTCTATCTTAAACCATACCCCTAGAAACAAAGAATCCCCAAAGTTCTAATTTGCAGGGATTTTCATACACATTGAATTCAACTGTAAGGGGAGCAAATAAACTTCCTCATCTGTTTTGTTATCTCTCACCCCAGGGCACTCAGGCTCAAGCTGAACAGATAGGGTGAGAATTTAAATTGACCTGCAGAGAGAGAGAGAGAGAGAGAGAGAGAGAGAGAGAGAGAGCACTCAGGCTCAAGCTGAACAGATAGGGTGAGAATATAAATCAGCCTGCCCGATAATATAAGCAAAAACAAGGGATTTAAAGTGGTGGGTAGCCACAGAGAACTTAAAGAATTTAAGGCAGCTTGCCCAATGGACAAATGGAAAAAAAGATTTTAAAAGCCATTTTTTTCCGTAAACTTTTTCTTGGGGGAAGGGGCTCATTCCAGACGACCACCCTGCATGGAGGGCTTTCATCTGTAGTCCTCGGCATCCCTGTGGGCTTCCCCTTTGGGGGAAGAGCCTTCGTACCGCACACACCCTTATGGTGGCTGGTTTGCAACGAGGGCTCTCATGGCACAGGTCCTGGCCTTTTCTCCCCCGCCACGATGGTGGCTACAGGGCCCATGGGAAGCAAGCTACTGTCAACACATAGTTAAAACTATGAGAGCTTAAAAGGGATAGCTTACTTGGATGAGAGACTTAAAATGTGGACTCCACTGGCCCCAATCGCTTCCCTTTTCTGCATTGTGATTCTAAGCCTGTTTTTCTCTGGAATAGAGTATTTCCCTCACTGATGTTCAGTTACTGTATGCTTGCTTTTGTCCCTGCCACATCATTCCCTGGGTACCTTCTAGTTACAATGTCATGGACAGATTAAAAGAAAAGAGTATTATGATATTGTCTTTTTGCATTTTCTTCTAGGTACCACTGTTTTTGGTTTCTTATTCCCCAGGTCATGGACACTTAATCCAAGATCATGTATAATAAATTATAAAATGTTTTTGCCAATCCAGACTGACAGCCCTCTTCAAAGGAGTTCACCATGTGAATTAACCATCTTGCCTTGGTTTAAAAAGTAAAATATGGATAAACAATTTTTAAAAATTTTAGACTAAAGAAAAACAAATGCCTTATTGTATTAATTATATTGGTAAATTGGCACGTGCTGTTTGAGCTCACTGAGATGCTGACTCTGGAGATGGGATTGGCCCTCCCACTTCAGATTCAAGCCTATTATCTCAAGATATGTTCTCCAAGACTTTTCCAGGTTCAGGCTGGCCCTCTGACCCTGTGACAAGAAAAGGAAAACAACAAAACAGCCTAAGAGTAAATGCACTGTACAATTAAAAACAGCTAAGGTGTAAATGAATTTCAACAGGGGCTATTACTGTCTATAGTAAAAGTAGTTAATAGGATTCTCTATTTGATCACAATACTGAATAAAGTCACTAACACAGACTAATGTAAAACGTATGTTAAATACAAAGATAAATTTAACTACTTAAAAAAAAAGGACAGATTTATTTTTAAAAAAAAAGATCTTCTGCCTACAGTTCCTCAGTCAATAAGTAAAGCATCACAGTTTTCCTTAACTGATTATGCTAAAATCTATAAACATCAATTTGATAATGCTTAAATATGTACCAGTTACTTCATTCTACCTCATCATTATGTATGGCTTTGTCCAACACAGCCACTTTGAGATGAGATTCTCACATATATACATATGTATGCATATGTATATGTATATGTATATGTATGTATGTATATGTATATATATGTATGTGTGTGTATTTGTGTGCATATGTATATATAATATATGAATGTATATGTAAAGTATTGCTGGCTTTTAAGAGATTCTTTCATATACATCTGATCAAAAATTTCATCAACGTAATTGGTCTTGGTTTTGAAACTGGTTTGTTGTAACATTGTGTCTAACCACAGTATTTATTGAATGAGACTGTTGTGAATGTATAGATTTATTTTTAATGCTAATAAAACAATTACTAAATAATAATTTACTAGATATCATATTGACTTGTAAGTTCTCTTGTAAACCAAAATTGTTAAATTACAACATAGTTCCTATTAAAAATATAAATTAACTCTTAAGGAATGATTGCTTCTGCTCCAGGGTACAATTTATCTCTATGTTTAGATATGTTTTATATATAATAAACATTTTCCAAGTCTGTGTAAAACATCTCTAAACATTTAAGGGAGATTTGGTTGTTTAAAACCTGCTTCAAT